CACACACATGCACACACACACGCTGACACAGACACTGACAAGGACACAGACACTGACACAGACACAGACACAGACACAAACGGACACAAACACAGACACAGACACAGACACACACACACACACACACAAACACACACACACACACACACACACACACACACACACACACACACACACACACACACACACACACCACACACACACAGCCACATGTTGCATGCGCACGCGTACATGCTGCACACGCGTGCAAGCACTCAGATGGACAGGCACGCACGCGCTCGTGCACGTGTCTGCGTGGTCGCACGCCCGGCCGTGCGCTCGCACGCTCGCTCCGCCTGCACCGCCTGCACAAACGCACGCAAACTGGTTGTGGGTTTTTGCGTGCGGCATCACACAGGAAAATAATGTATTGTGCAGAACAACACGGTGTATCTGTGTATATATATATATATACGCACATTTATTTTACGCATAATTGAAACTTACAGTCACACTTGCTTGAATCTCCAGCGTTATTGTGCCCGAGCGCTTCATTCCTTTTTTCTGCTCCGCCTGCGGGTTGGGACAGGCTTCGGACATCGGATGCAACAAGAAGCGAGCCCGAGAACCTGCAAACATCCCAAAAGTACATGATTGCATGCCTTTTAGACGGTAGTTGACCGCTCTGTTGCTGTTCTCCAGTTTCAATAGAGCGACGCTCTAAAGCTGAAAGGAGTATTCGGAGGAAATATTGTTTTCACGGTGTTGTCTTTTTCTAGGCCGCAAAAGTGCCGAGAAAGGTTCGCGAAAGGGTTTATATTTCATGTACCCGCAATCTTTCATTTTTGCTTGCATGCATGACTGTGACTGCAAGTAGGACTCAGGCACGCCTTTTGCATGGAGCGACAAAACTCATTCACGAAACAAACACTTGTGTCAAGGGATGAGGCAGGTAAAAGCTTTGAAACCTGTTTGTATACGTCCTTACTTGCCTAGAGCAATGGCAAAGAACCTGGCCGCTTGAACATCTGTGGTATTTCCGCGAGACCCTTGCCAATTAAAATCACTGGCCAACAACTCGAACACGGAGCTCGAAAGCCCCGCGAAAGCTCCGCGAAAGGGGCCGCTGAACTTCCCAGCCTCTCCCCGCGTGTCGCTCAATCAAAGTTTCAATCGGCCCAAGCTTGTCCGCTTCCTGAAGATGCGAAATTATAGTCAGATAGTTGTCCTGCACGCGCGAAAGCAAAACAAACTTCAATCCATTTCTCAATCCGCGAAAGCGACGCGAAAATAGTTCCCTCATCAACACAACCTCTTGCTAAAGGAACCGCGCACCGCGAAAGCTCCGCAAAAGTCTTCGCGAAAGGGATTTGACATTTCTCTTCGGCTGCAACTGCGCTGAAAGCAAATTGAACACTTTTGGCTGTTCTTACTCCATAGCTGCCATAGCTTGCTTCTGCCTCCATGCGGCCAGGCCAAATACCACGTGCAGCCCGGGCCTCAGATGGCGTCTGTCAGTGGCGGTCTCTCTCTCTCCCTCGCTTGAACTCGGGGAACTCGGGGAGGGTTTGTTGTTCTTGGCTCAGGCGATTGTGTTTGGCCTGTGGGAAGGGCGGTTGGCCAGGGAGGCACCTGTTTGCCCTGACTGAGGCCTGCGGCGAGGCGCATGAAGTCTCGGAAGACTGTAGGCGGGGAAGAGCACGCTTATGATGGATAAGTGCTTTTGCAGATGATATGCACCGTGCAGAAATCGGCGTGCCTTTTTGACCGGTATCCTTTTGATGTTTCACAGGTACAGGCGCAGGGAAATGGTCCATTTCGGCAAAACGGGGTTGGAAGGTGCACATGGCGCTTGAGCGCGAACATTCTGTTGCACTTGTTGTCGGGTTTGTCGTGGTACCGACCTTGGGGAGTTTCATCTTGCACTAACTCAGCAGTAAGCAGCAAACACTTACGCGCATGCACGCAGACACACACACACAGGCAGGCAGACAGACAGACAGGCAGGCAGGCAGGCAGGCAGGCAGGCAGGCAGGCAGGCAGGCAGGCAGGCAGGCAGGCAGGCAGGCAGGCAGGCAGGCAGGCAGGGCAGGCAGGCAGGCAGGCAGGCAGGCAGGCAGGCAGGCAGGCAGCCCTCTCCGCTGGCTGTTGCGCAAGGTGCTTCAAGCGTTTCTGCCGAATGCATGTTCTGCTGCTTTTCATGTGTACTGGCAACAAGTTGACATCTGAAAACTAGAACGTCGAATGGGTACTTACAAGGAGAGCCCGTCCCATCCGCAAAAGCACACATTTTTCCAATATGACAGACCCATTTGCCACGCTGCCCCCAGACTGGCGGAGCCCAGAGACCGGGGCTTCGATTCAACTTCATGACAGGCTTCGAGGACACAGAGGGCGGCTTCCTGCGGCGGCTCACCACCATGCGGCCAACCAGCTCCATGCAGAGCGCGCCCTTTGACCGGTTTGTGTGCACTTTCTCTATTTTGGGGTTTAGGCGCTCCAATTTATGGGGAGCAGACGACAGAACACCGGCCACACAGGATAAGGTGCTGAACAGCTTTGCAGGCTGTCCGTGCCCACACCTGTGCAGCAGCAGGTCATGATTTGCTCTTGGGCCACTGGCAATGGTCCTCAACCGCAATTGCTTCCTAGTTTACGATTGGTCAACCAGTAGCAGTCAACCAATCAATCAATGAGCAAATGGATTGAGCAGATGGATCTGGGCCCCGAACAGGTCACCTTCCAAAGGAGCCACCGACCAGACTGCAAACTCATTCATTGATGGTGCTCGCAGGCGGTCCACGCAGACGGGTGCTTCGGAGGCGGAGGTGGCGGGGACCAAGACCAAGGTGATTTGGCACCTTGGCGAGGTAGCTCAATTCGACATGGGAAAGGAAGCCGACTCTGGGATGGCGAACTTCAGACCCAGCTGGGATTCACTTCAGACCCAGCTGAGATTCACTGCAATTGTTGCAGCCACTGCAAATGACGTTGCAGCCACTGCAAACAATGTATATTGCATATCATGTTGGATAGTCCAGGCTGTTGAATTGCATTGCAGTAATGTTGAGGCCAGACCTTTTGAAGGATTTGCAGTGAAATCATATTGAAGCCAGGGGTCTATGCGGGGTCAGTTTTGCAATCTTGTACGCAAACATCATTTTCGTGGTTTCATCTTGGATGTGAAGAAGCAGGTGTCTGAGCTTTGTGACGAATATGTACTCGTTTGGTACTCTTTCACAAGTGCGTTCGTTGTTCTCACAACGCCGTGAAGACTGAAGGGATACCTGCAAGATTGTTCCCGTAGCCAATTGACCGCTGCATGAGGTCTTTGGCTCAAGTACCATCGCGAAGGCGGTCTTTGGAACCAGACTGCCGGAACAACCCTACTAACAATCCCCAACAAGCATACCCCTGGAAGAAACAACAACATGGCATGCTTGGTAGAGTGTCCGGGTTCAATTTTAGCCTTTGCAGTGTCCTTCCTTCCTGCCTGCCTGCCTGCCTTCCTGCCTTCCTTCCTTCCTTCCTTCCTTCCTTCCCTTCCTTCCTTCCTTCCTTCCTTCCTTCCTTCCTTCCTTCCTTCCTTCCTTCCTTCCTTCCTTCCTGCCCTTTTTTCTTTTCGCTTTTTGAGTTTTCCTTCCCGTTTGCTCTTTTTCTCTTCCTTTTTTTACAATATGTTTTTCCATGTTTTTCTCTTTTTCTCTTGTTCTGTTTTGTTTCTTCTTCTCTCTTTCTCGTTCTCTCTTTCTTGTTTTCTCTCTTTCTCTCTTTCTCTCTTTCTTCCTTTTCTCATTCCTTCTCCTTCCTCTCTTTCTCTGTGCCAACCTCTATGTCTATGTGTTGCTCTTTTTGGTTTTCTTCCTTTCTTTCCTTCCTTTCCTTTCTTTCCGTTCTTTCTTTCTTTTTTTTCCTTCTTTCTTTCTTTGTTTCTTTCTTTCTTTGTTTCTTTCTTTCTTTCTTTCTTTCGTTCTTTATGTTTTCATTCTCGTTTCTTTTTGTTTTTTCTTCTCTCTCTCTCTCCTTTATCTCTCTCTCTCTCTCTCGTTTTTTTTTCTTTTTTTTGTCCTCTTTCTCTCTCTCTTTCTCCTTTCTTTTCTTTTTTCATTCTCCGTTTCTTGCTTTATTCCAGTCTCTTCCTTTCTCTTCCTTTCTCTTCCTTTCTCTTCCTTTCTCTTCCTTCGCTTCCTTGTTTTCTTCCTTTGTCTTCCTTTGTCTTCCTTTGTCTTCCTTCTTCTTCCTTCTTCTTATTCTTGCTTTGTCTTCCTTCCTTCCTTCCTTCCTTCCTTCGTTCCTTGCCTCCTTGCTTCCTTGCTTCCTTGCTTCCTTGCTTCCTTGCTTCCTTGCTTCCTTGCTTCCTTGCTTTCTTGCTTTCTTGCTTTCTTCCTGCCTTCCTGCCTTCCTGCCTTCCTGCCTTCCTGCCTTCCTGCCTTCCTGCCTTCCTGCCTTCCTGCCTTCCTGCCTTCCTGCAGTCCTTTCGTTCTTTCTTTCGTTCTTGCTTTCTTTGATTCTTTCTTTCTTCGTTCCCGAAAGCATCGCGAAGGGTTCTTCCGTGCGGAGCCCTTGGACAAGTTACAAAGAGCCAAGTTACATAGAGCCAAGTTACATAGAGCCAAGTTACATAGAGCCAAGTTACCCCAAATTACTGTAGAGCAAGCATAGAGTTACATGAGCCAAGTTACATAGAGCCAAGTTACATAGAGCCAAGTTACATAGAGCCAAGTTACATAGAGCCAAGTTGAGCCAAGTTACATAGAGCCAAGTTACATAGAGCCAAGTTACATAGAGCCAAGTTACATAGAGCCAAGTTACATAGAGCCAAGGTTAGGTAGAGCTTAGAGCTTCGGCGTTAGCAGCTATGTAAGTTAGTTTAGGTTTCTAAGGCGCCGGGGCGGGAGTTTGATCGTCGCTCAGGATTGCGACCCTCTGCGGAGATTCGCGTGGTCGAGGTTCAAAAACTGAGAACTTTTTACGATTTCTGCTGGCCGCGCGCGACCCTCTGCGGAGATTCGCGTGGTCGAGGTTCAAAAACTGCGGACTTTTTACGATTTCTGCGGCGACCCTCTGCGGAGATTCGCGTGGTCGAGGTTCAAAAACTGAGGACTTTTTACGATTTCTGCGACCCTCTGCGGAGATTCGCGTGGTCGAGGTTCAAAAACTGCGGACTTTTTACGATTTCCGCTGGCCGCGCGCGACCCTCTGCGGAGATTCGCGCGGTCGAGGTTCAAAAACTGAGGACTTTTTACGATTTCTGCTGGCCGCGCGCGACCCTCTGCGGAGATTCGCGTGGTCGAGGTTCAAAAACTGCGGACTTTTTACGATTTCCGCTGGCCGCGCGCGACCCTCTGCGGAGATTCGCGCGGTCGAGGTTCAAAAACTGAGGACTTTTTACGATTTCTGCGGTGCGCGCGCGACCCTCTGCGGAGATCGTGCGCGTCGAAGCGCTCTCGCTGTGGCGCCGTGCGAATTTGTCTTAGTCTCGGCGAACCCTCTGCGGAGATTGTGCGTGTCGAAGCGCTCTCGCTGTGGCGCCGTGCAATGGCTGCCACTCGCAAAACGGCTGGAAGTTGTCTGTGGTTTGCGTAACATGATACGCAGTCGCAGTTCGATTCCCCTGGCACTTTCACGGCTCCGGCCCGAAAATCGCGGCACTGCATTCGGCAGTAGTACGCGGGCGTGTCGCGCAGCTCCGGCTGGGAATCGTCTTTGCTACCTGGCTCGGCTGACAATCGCAACTGTCTAAACGTGTGCGGAGCGTATCGCCTGACTCCGGATGGAAAATCCGCAATTTTGAAATTACCAGACGTGGAAAAGTGCGAGCGTCATCACAGCTCAGGCTGGAAAATCGCAACCTGAAATTATAGGCGTAGTACATGAACCACCCCGCATCTAAAAAATCTGGAGGATCGCAACTTTTTAAGTACAAACGTGTCGCAGACACCCACGGCTCCAGCAGCACTTGCGCAGAGCAACTTGCACAGACCAACTTGCACAGAGCACATGCGCAAAGCGCTTGCACGGAGCAACTGGCGCAGAGCCCTTGCGCAGAGCAACTTGCTCAGAGCACTTGCGCCGAGCAACTTGCACAGAGCAGGCGCAGAGCAACTTGCACAGACCAACTTGCGCAGAGCACATGCGCAAAGCGCTTGCGCGGAGCAACTGGCGCAGAGCACTTGCGCAGAGCAACTTGCGCGCAGCAGCCTGGAACAATGCAGCTTGCGCAGACCACTTTCGTGAGAAATCGCGCGGCGCAGTTCGAGAGGAAAGTAGGATGATGAGATGGAGCTCTCATGTGACCATACACACTGAGCATTGCCGCGCGCAGACACGCTCGCCGCAGCGATGTAAAAAGGTGTCTCCGCAGCTGGATGAGCGCCTGTGGAAAAATGCTTTCGGGCCAATCGTCCTCTAGTTTCATTGCTTTTCATTTCTTTTCATTTCTTTTCATTCCTGTTCATTCCGTTTCATTCCATTTATTTCATTCAGTTCATTTCATTTCATGTCATGTCATTTCATTTCTTTCTTCAACGGAAGAGATCGACACCAGTTGAATCCTAGCAACTGCAGAGAAAGGACCCGGCGCCGTGCACTATAGGATTTCTGGCCGAGCAAGCTTGAACTCAGGGACGTGGACATGTCGCAGCTTTCGACCATGTTTGTGCAGCAGACCTATTCCTCAAATGTGGCGCCTGAGAACTCGCCGCCTGTCAGGGATGTTTCTGTCTTAAGCAAGCCGGGAGATGTGCTTTGAGTGACATTTGCATGCAGTGAGAGCTTGCAAGCATTCTATCTCAGGAACCCGTCGTCGCCCAGCCCAACTGGCCGTGCTCAAAGAGTTGGAAAGAAGCCATCTTTCGAGATCGAGGACGTTGAAAACCAGAAATCTGGCAATGAAAGCCCCAGCCAGCTACTTGACTGATGCAGGGTGGTCAGATGCGCACGGAGATTCACCTGCTTTTGTGCAGCATCGAGGGGCATTCTTGCTTTTGGCAGCGCTGAGTCAAGGCCACGGCTAATTGTCTTTACAACGGAGGTGCAGAGTTGGGGATTCGGCCTTTTCCAGAGTAAGATGGCCACATGTCTAGCCAGCAGACCGATAGATCATGATGCCGGTTTCCAGCAGCTCCATGAATCAATGCTACGGATGTGTTGAACATGATCGGTCATATGCAATCCTGCAAGCTGGATTGCCCTTTGATCCAGCTTTTGGTTGGGATTCTGAACTCATTCATATAGGTTTATCTTTTTTACTCGACCCCTTTGTTTCTTCCAAGGCCCCTTTTTTAGAGTCAGCGATATTTTGACACAAACCCATATTTCCTGACTGAAATCCTCGAGTGTTAGATCCAAGGCTTTCACCGGCTGGCCGAGAGCGATCGGGGACCTTACTGGACATGCCGGATGGCCCTGTCTGTAAACTCGAGACAGTTGAGACTACCATCACCCTTCGAAACTCAACTCTGTGATTCTCACAGTGCGAGTCTGTTTTGGTTGAACTTGATGGCCATTGCGAGCACCATTACCACCTGTTGGATGTGGTTTTTCTGAGATACTTCTGACTTGGGTAGGACATAATCCTGTGCCACTTGTGTTTTGAAAGTGCTGGATGGCCATCGAATTCAGATGCGAGCATCCGCTGGATGTCACGCTCTTCCAGGTATGCCCCAGAATTCAGGTCATGCCAAGACATTGCTTGAAAGACGCGCAGGCCCACCTTTTGCAATTGGCACTTTGCTATTCTTTTGGGTGTCTTTTGTCAAGCTTATATGGCGAGATATGGCGAGCGAGCTGTTTGAACTGAGTTTCGCCAAACGGGGTGTGTCTTAGTTGGCTAGCTTGCGCGGCAATGCAGGCATGTTTCTATGTGTGTGTGTGTGGGCAGCCGTTGCACAGTTGGGTGCTGCATGTTTGCTTCTGGGGCGTATGAATTGCTAGAGGATGCGCAGTGCCTGCCTTCTCAGAAAGTCAGAAGGCGGGTCTCCCAGAGGTTGAACAGGCGCCTCAAAATTTTGTGCTTCAGGCAACCTGTTTTGAGGCATCTCACCCTGAAAGGGTAGAAGGATGTCAAGTAGTTATCTCAGTTATCTCCATGCCTCCGGCCTTCCGGGTTTTCACGACGGATGGCTTGCACGCTCATGAGAAGCGTTGCCTGTGCCGATCCCTCGGGCTCAGTCCTTAGAAGGACCGGCATGGCTGTGGCAGAGTATTGTCTAGCGACTCTGTCACCGATTGCTCGCACATCGACACATGGCCTCGACCAGAAAGAGGGGAAGCTTCGGACAGGAACTGAGATGCTGCGTTGGATTATTGGTAGCAGGTTAAGGTCTTGACCACGACCCCCCCACTCCTTGGACACTCTCCATGTATTCTCAGGGACCGGCAACCCGGTCGCGGCCTGAGAGCGGCCTCGAAAGGGGTTCACTTGAGCGACTGTGATAGAAACCTGGGGACGGTGATCAATGCGGATCCTCAAGGGATTCTGCACTACTACCCTCAGGTGCACTTGATGTAGATCTAGTTGCAACACCGTTGTTCGGGCGCTGCCTGGCCCGGTATCTCAGGCTTCGTGCCCCTGATCGGCGACCCCTTCAGACCAGGAGCGGGTTGTCCAAGCTCAGGCAAGCGAAGTACACGTTGACCTAACACTAAGGGGTTCTTACGCTATGTGTAAAGGCCTGGTGTTAGATCCCGGATGGTTTTTTCGTGGTACTCGTATTAACGTACAATCGTGACTTCATAATTTCGACTGCGCAGGCTCGTGCAAAGTGGTGGGTCGAGATTTGGCCGGCGCTTTTCGGCTGCGCAGGCTCGCGCAACAGTTTCCTTGTGAGATGTTCATGTGCATTTCGACTGCGCAGGCTCGCACAAAGTGGTGAGACGAAGTTGGTGTCTTTCGAGGGTGTGCTCTC